AGCGTTTGTTTACTCTGGTGGAAAGGAATAAGAGGAGGTGATTTTTTAGGAAATAACCCACCTGTGTGGTTTGTTCTACCTGCACTTACAGATTTGGAATGGGAAAACCACCCCCTCATACACACACATCAATTAGGGGTTTTTTTTCCATGGTTACAGTGCAATATTCTTGATTAAGAAAATATCAGTGAAAATACCGGAGCCAGATTGCAGAGATCCGCTGCAAAAGCATAGTTAGTTGCCATTATTAGCAAATGAGAAGTGGAATTTTAGTTATGCTGAAAATATTTTGCTTAAGAAAGAAGTGGTGACAATGGCAAGTGGCAGAATTTCTGGAAGTTTCTATAAATGAAGAGAGTTTTATTGCAGTTCAGAAAGAAAGAAAGAAAGATTGCTGAAACTTTCCAGCTAAGAATTTTAGTAATCATATCATCAAATGATAGAGGAATATCATAAAAGTTTCATTGTAGCTTTATTCATGAGAATGAGATCAGGGAGTTGATAAGCCTTACGTGTACAGAGACATCTGTGATGGCTAATTAATACTTTAAGGTTTTAGTCAAGAGCAGTTAAATGTGCTTTGTTTCAATTAATATAATTGTGTTTTGCTGCAAGTTTTTTGGAGTTTTTTTAATAATTAACAATACTTTCATGAACACAAATCCTCTTTGGTTTTTTTGGGGTCCTTTTCATTTTTAAAGCCTTTGGTGAAGGTACAAATCAGAAGAGTTTTCTCTCCAGGTGATTTCCTGCAGCTCTCTGGGAAGGCAGCAGAGTTTTTTGCTTGTGTGTTTTCCCGTTGGTGTGTGCAGCCCATGTATTTGTGCTGGGAAATGTGGTGCTGTCTGAGCCAGACAGTCTGGACCACTCCTGGAGCAGTTTTGCAGGACTTGGCAGCAAAGGCACATCACATCTCAAGTGCTGGTTTTAAGTACTACATCAGGAAAATTGGCTTAATTCATGCTCAGTTTTTCACTTTTGTTCTACCAGAGAGGCTTCTGAGCGCTCAGTGCAGGTGAGAATGCCCTCTTGAGAGCCTGGATTTGGTTTTGCCAAGTGGGTTTATCCCACCTTGCACGGTGCCTTTAGCTGTCAGGATCAGCAGGTTTGAGGCAGCTGCCGTGTCCCCAAGGGCTGGCTTCCCTGTCCCTCTCTCCTCTTGCCCACCAAACCACTGCTGGCACGTGTTCCACACGGTGTGCCCGTGAGCACCCTGCACGGCCACTCCGTCTCATTCCGTGTTCCCCAGCAGGGTGATTCGAAAAGTTTGGAAATAACATGGCTGTCATGTATTTAGAATAAATGTCAGGAGAAGATGGGCTCTGAACCTCAGCAGGGATTCCACCTGGATAATAATTTAGGCACATAGCTGAGTGCTGAAGCGTGGTTGTGGTCTGAGAAAGGTGTGTGTCTGGTTTGCTTTAAGGCCACCAAAAACCAGTTAAATTTGCCGTAGGGATCGTGTCTGCCCGCTCTGAAATTAAGCAATATCTGGGTTGGAACGCAGCATCTCTTTAAACAGTGCCCAAAAATAGCACGCAACAATTTTCAGGTCAGGAAGCTGGGAACATCCTGATCATCTCAAAATGCCAAGGGAACTGTAGGTGGGTGGAGTGTTATTTCCCAGCCTGGTGTCTGGCCGGGGAACCAAAGCACCTCTGAGAGCTCTGTACCCGCAGTGCTCCAGCCTCAGCCCTGGCTGGCAGCAGTACGGCTTCTGGGAGCCTGTTCCTCTTTGCACAGCTTCTCACTGTCTCTGCCCAGTGCTTCAGTCTGGGCGAGCCATGGCTCTCTGGTTTGTGGCTCTTGCTGGTTCCCAGGCCAAGGTGGTCACGTTTCCATACAGGGACACTCCTTTGAGATCATTCCCACCTTAGAAAATCTTCAGGCACTTTCAGGAGTTTGTTCTGCGTTGTCGGTGATCACTTGTAACAGCATGGCTCCTTTGAGATCATTCCCAACCTTAGAAAATTCTCAGGCACTTTGAGTTTGTTCTGCGTTGTCGGTGATCACTTGTAACAGCATGGTGTATTGTCCAGCTTAGGAAACAGTCAAGAAAAGTCCAGGCAAGTGCTGGGAGAGCTGTCCTGATGGTGTTGGCCCAGGGGAGCAGCAGAGAAGCACAGCATTGCAGCTTGGCCTGGTACTGCATGGCAGCAGTAGGGCCTTTCCTTGGGAGTGTTGGGGGTGTCAGCTTGTGTACACATTTGGGGGGGCTTAATAGTACTTTGCCCATGGCTAAATGTCTTGGTCCCTGTGAGACCTGCTCCCTCCTGCAGATCCTTCACGTTGTTTGTGTGACCTTTTAGTCAAAGTCCTGACTAACCTGTGGTACCTCTGCTTTTTTGCAACTTCTGATTTCTGTTCAGGCTGGAATAAAGTGGAGTTGAGTTGCCTTTTGTAGTTGCTCATGTGCTCAGCTCTTACCCAGCTGTAATGTCTGTTTCATCTTATGGGTGCACGTCTGAGGTAATATTTACCTTTTATTCCAGAGCTGAAAGGAGCAAGTCTCTAATAGCTGAACTGTTAACTATTGACACTTTCCCTTCTGGAAAACAACAAGCTTCAGTGATTGAAATGAGCATCAGTGCAACAGTTTATTCATACTTTTGTGTGGTTCCAAGTAAAGCCGATGTGATGTATACAATCCCAGGCTCAGCTAAATGTTCTGGTTTGCACTGAAGTGTCAATGGGTGCTTTTCCTTTCTCTGCTGCTTTGGCGTTTGAGGGGTCACTCCTGGCTGGGAAAGCTCAAGCTCTGGCTTGGTGAGATCTGCATGCTGTGCCTTTGCTGTGCAGCAGAGATTACTCACTGTCTGGGGGATCAGACTGGAGCAGGAGTTAGCAGGGTGATGCTGTGATACACAGCTGGTGCCTCGGGTGGCTCTGTGGATTGTCGTGACAGAGAGTTTCTCGAAACGGACGCCGTTACTGTCGCCTTTTTCCCAACCTGGAAATAATTTCAGTAAGGAGGTAATATAAAAGGGGATCTTTATTTGAAGGCCTTCAGGAGCAGTTATGGAAAGGTGTTCACAAAAGCCTACCCCCACCCCAGGGGTGAGTACATTTTTATAGGTTTTAGGAAATTAGCATAATTGATAAAAAGCACCAATTTATAATTTGTAAAAAGCACCAATTAGGAGGACAAGTGGTGATGCAATTCCCTCCCCAATGAAGCCCCTTCTCTGGAGCCCCCCCTCAGCACTAGCTGTACTTTGTCCATGAAAATGTATCTTGAAGGGTTGTTCTCAGCCTTGATTCCCAGGAAGAACCAAGATAGTACTGGAGCCTTGTGCTTGGAGCTTTGGAATTTGTTTTGTCTTTCTGCTTAGGGAAAGGCCATGGAAAAGTACTGGGAAATCTAGCTACTAATACTATAGGTGACAGAGTTACAAATACATGTGTGAAGAATACAGGGAACATAGAAAAAAGAAAGGGCAAACCCCAAACACCATCATTATCATGAAAAATGGGAAACAGAAGGTGGAGGAAAAGGTTCCTGTGGCTCATGAGGTGCCTTTGCTGGAAGCAGGAAACCCCAAAGTGAGAATGCCTAAATTTTAGAGCTGTGGAGGCTTGCAAGAGAAAATTCTTTTCACAGACAAAAATACTAAATACTAATATTAATATACTAGCCTCCCCCCCCTTTTCTTACAGATGTGTGTGTACAGTCAGGTGTTAGATAAAGACTGAGCTTTACAAGAGCCCTAGTTCTGGCAGAGGTGACTATATGCATGCAGAATTAGATGAGGAAGTAATTCTGCTTACAGGGCTGGCTGGGACTGAGGGGTTTCCAGTTCCACTGTAAGCTACAAACATATTTTGTTGGTTCAGGTTCTTTAAGGCTGTTTCTATAACATATTCTGTATTCATGAGCTGTGTTTTTCTTGAGCTAAAGGCTGCAAGAAGAGATGCAGCAATAGGTGTGTGTTTCCTTCAGAGCAGTTGTTATTGGAGTGACTGTACTGAAGCAGGAGGTGGCGAGTACTTTGGATTTGCCAGTGTTAAGGGGAAAACATGTTAATTCCCTAAAAACAGGGCACACTACCAGGTTTTTGTAGCATTTTCTGGGAAGAAGGTTAATAGTCAAAATTCTGTAATGAAAAGTCTACTCCCTGTTTTTTACTTAAAATTGGAAAAACGATGGTCTCCTTGGTGCTTTTTGTGTTGTTCTACAGCACCCAGCACAGCAGGATGTGTCCCCTCCGTGGGGATCACAAAACGTCATCCTATCTTTGTAGTAGAAACAGAATTCTTGTGTGGTTATCATATAAAAAATGAATTTTAATATTAAACTTAATGCTCTGCTATGAGAAATATGTAAACTTGGCTGTGCAGCAGCAGCATGCACTTCCTGGAATTCCGTGCATAGCGTGGTTATAAATAGGCAGCAGGTTATTTGGGAATCACTGGCGCTGCTGTCTGGTGTCACAAACAGCATCTGAACAGAAGCTGCCTTCCCTGCTGGACGGTTGGCTTTGGAAGAACACAAACACCTGATCCTGAAAGCTCCTGCCCGAGTGAATCCCAGGAGTCCCTGGAGCACAGGGCCCAGGTCTGCCGCGGGCGTCCTTCGGCCTCAGCTGCTGCCAGCGTTTCCCAGCCTAGACCCAAATGCTGGAATTCACCCTGGCTAGGAGCTGCTCCGCCGTGCCTAGGTGTGGCACTGCCAGTCCATGAAGGAAGCCTTGGGCCTGTCTTCCTTCAACAGGAAACCACCTGCGGCTTCTCAGTGCTTGGAGGGGCTCTGGGCTGGTTTTGGTGGTTTCCCCCCCAGGCAGAACGTGTCGGCACCGCCACGTGTGGGCTCAGAAACCTGTTTGGAGTGGCACAAGAAATACTGTGCTAAGAGAAATGAATTACCACAACAGTAAGGGGATAGAAACCGCTGATTCCTAAAATAATAGTACTCGACCGTCTGTATTTTTGTCTCATTGTGACTAGATTGATATTTATGATTTCTTTGCTTTTCTGATGTAAGTTTACTTTCTGTATGACAGACCAGAGACGACTTCCTGGGCCAGGTGGATGTGCCGCTCAGTCACCTCCCGGTAAGCACCACATCCCTGGAAACCCTGGGTTCATTGCACATTCTCTTAGAGCAAGTGCTCTCAGCAGAGCTTAAAAGAAACTCTTGTGGACAAGCAAGCCTCACCTGCACAAAGACATGGAAGGGATGCACTTGCTGTGCCAAAAAAGCTTCACGAGAGCAGGTTTGCTTCAGCAAATGCGTGAAAAGCCAAAAGGCTGCCAGAGCTATGTCACCTGTTTGTTGTTTTAGCTGAAACTGAACTCTTTGCCAACTGTAAGAGTTCAATGGCAATCAGTTGAATGTAATGGACACAGGGTTTGAATCATGTTATTGTCATTTTATTGGCATTTGAGGTGTTTGGTTTGAAGGTGGTAATATTTGTTTCTGTTTCTTATTTAATGGAGGAATTCACTGTAACGCTGGTTCTGTAATTCTGTAAAGCTCCAGTTGTCTGGTTTCCCCCCAGCAGCCAGGATTCTGCATGGGTTGCAAAACTAGATGCTAAATGAAGTGCAATTTCTATTTCTAGGTTTATAAATAGGAATAAATATATATGTGTATGTATATACAGTGATTGCATTAGCCTTGATACAAACATTTCTGATATTATATACTGTTTTGGATGACTAACATTGGCTGAATGTTGTGCATGTTAATCTTAACATATGCCAGTTATGTCAGTTGAGCATAACTGGCTTTTTGTGTCTGATTTTGACTTCTTGCTATTAGTGGATGTTATTGTAGGAGAAAAATTGCTTTGTATGACTTGCACCGTGGTGCTTGTTTAGACGTATCTGTTATGGTTGATGTGGAGTGTGTTGGGTTACAGACTGTAACAGCAGAAAGCTACAAGGGAAGGATCAGGAACACCTTGTGGTGACAAATGTGCAGTTCCCTTGTCATGCCAGCTGTGCTGTGCAGGATTGCTTGGTGTGGGCTTGTGTGGCTGTCTCCATTTATGTATCCTTACGCACAGCCGTGATCTCAATAGCCCTGGTGGGACAGTGGGAAGAGTCCTTTCCCCTCAGACATGTTCCATGGCAAAGCTGCTGTGTCTCAGAGCAGCCCTTCCTTCAGTAGCTGTGCCCTTGTGGGACCTGCACGGGCACTCCCTGCCTGCTGCTGCCCCATTCCAGGGAGAGGGTTACCTGTGAGAGAGGTGTGGGTGCACGCTGTACATCTGCAGTCCTTCCACTGCCTTGGTGGGATGTATTTATCAACAAATTAATAATCAGCTTCCTCATCCCGCTGATTTCTTTGTCAAAGTCCTTGTTTCTCCAATACCAGCTAATTACTACGGACAGAATTTGGGTAAATAATGCAGCTCCTCACTGGGAGCACGTCCCTTCCAGCTGGGCACTAAACAGCAGTGTGAGTCGTGCGTGCCTTGGTGTCCTGGTGAGCTTGTTCAAATCTGCCATCGTGTCTCTCCCAGAGAAAGTGGACACTGGGTCAGGCTGTGTGGGATTTGGCTGCCAGGTGTAACTCAGTTCATGCTTTAAGTTCAGATTAAAGTTCCCCAGACAATCAGCAGGGGAAGTGTGTGTATGGATTCATCATCCTTTTCCCTTGGCATCTGAAATTCCTAGTTCTGTGCCCACGGCAGCTGTGTGTTTGCACAGCTGTGCAAAGGATGTGGCTTACTTGGTAAGAAAGCTGAAATTCTCAAGGAATGGAAAGGTTTCAAGATTCCAGGTTTTAGGTAACTTAGGAGTCAATGGAAATCAGAGAAGTAATCTGTCAGCCTGATAAGTGAATGTTCTTTATGTGGCTGGACTTGTGGGCAAGCCCTTTAATTTGCCATTTTTTCCACTGCTTACAGACTGAAGACCCAACTATGGAGAGGCCATACACATTTAAGGATTTCCTCCTCAGACCAAGAAGGTGAGAGGAAGGACCTTTAAAACATTTGAGGACTTTAAAACGTTTTTTACTTCATTATTTTTTATTTGCAATTATTTAAGAGTTCTTAAATGCAATGTACCTCCTTGTCTTGTAGCCACAAATCTCGCGTGAAGGGTTTCTTGAGACTGAAGATGGCGTATATGCCCAAAAATGGTGGCCAGGAGGAAGAAAACAGTGATCAGAGGGATGACTCTGAGGTAAGGCTGAATCCTCAAGGAAGGATTCAAGAAAAATTGTAGAGTTAGCTGCACGTGGAGGATAAAGCCCTGGAAACAGAGTTGGAAGTCGCTTCTCCTCGGCACCAAGCCACCAGGAGAAATGGCACCAAGCCACCAGCCGGCCACCTTTGGCAATCCCTCTTCAATAGACCCGTGGGGGTTAGCTCTTGTCTCGCTGGAACCAGGTGCACACTAACCACAGAGGTGTTTTTCCTTGGTCCCTAAGCACGGCTGGGACGTGGTGGATCCCAGCGATGCCGCATCCCAGCGCCAGGAGGAGCTGCCGCCTCCCCCGCTGCCCCCCGGCTGGGAAGAGAAGGTGGACAACCTGGGGCGCACCTACTACGTGAACCACAACAACAGGAGCACCCAGTGGCACCGGCCCAGCCTCATGTGAGCAGCCGTGGGCTGGGGCTGCGGGGGAGGGACGGCCAGGCTGAGGCTCCGTCAGAAAGGAGAACGCGCTTGCCCCCAGCAGATCGCAGAGACACAGAGTGTTCTGGGAAGTTCCAGGAACTCTGGCATGGCAGGGCAGGCAGTGCATTAACGATGCACCTTAGAGTATTAGGAGACAGATAAGGAATTTTTCAGGAAGTAATTTAACAGGAGTAAATTACTTTGTTTATAGAGACCGTTGAAGAGGTATGGAAAAAAGTCAACTCTACCAAGTTTTAATGAAGTTGAACAGATTAACTTTGAGGAGAGCCTGGTTAGTATTCTGTGAATACGCTTCATTCCCAGGATGTGCTGTCAGAGAGCACATGTGGCGATATCTTCTCAAGATTAGATTTAGAAAGCCGTGGCAAGCTTACATTTTACAGAGTGTGAATAACTGACAGTGTTAGGAGTCGTAGTGAGATCATGTGTTTAACCCTGCACTGCCAAGGCCTCCACTAAACCATGTCCAAGGAAGTGCTGGATCCCCCTGGCACTGGACACGTTCGAGGCTGAGCTCCGCAGAGTGCTGGGTCATCCTGTCTAGGCCATGGGTTCCCTGCCAGCAGAGGTTGAACCAGATGACCCCTGAGGTCCTTCCCAACCTGCTGTTCTGTGATATTTGTGAAGTGCTTCCAGTTTTATTTTCTTTCAACTGAGGGATTAAACAGTCTCCTAATTATGAAGCTTGAGTGTATGAATAACGATTTTTATAATCAAAAGCACTACTGAGGTTTTGAAGGCAATGGACAAAATGGGGGGCTTAGTTTAACTTGGGTTATCTTCTTGTTCTTTTCTCCTTCCCGTGCTGGGTTCCCCCCTGCAGCGACGTGGGATCCGAGTCAGATAACAACATCAGACAGATAAACCAAGAGGCGGCTCACAGGCGGTTCCGCTCCCGCCGCCACATCAGTGAGGATTTGGAACCGGAGCCTGCGGAGAGTGGAGACATTCCTGAGGTATGCCCAAGCCTTGGGCTTAGGGAGCTGACTAAACTTTGAGCTGCTGTGTGAGCTAATTACCACACGGCACAGAGAGTCGTGGGTTTACACGGCGTTTGTGGAAATTGCCTGGGGAAGGTGCCAGCAGCACAACGACAGCGGCACGCTGCCAGGGTCCTGTGCCTGGTGGCCCATGTGAATGCTGGGAGAAACATTAGCATTTCAAATTGCTTGTCTTGTATACACTGATAGAAACACTTTCATGTTCTGCTCTAAGCAACAGTGGAATAAATGATAAAAAAAGGGGAAGTGGGCTGGCTGTAACTGCCCTGTGCTTCAGTTTGTTGTAGTGCCTTGATTTAGGGTGAAGAGAAGGTGTTGTTTGTGTGTTGGGCACAGTGAGGTGTGAAGGCAAAGGGAAAGAAAGCTTTGTATAAAATCTGAACTTAGTTTCTTCTCTTTCATTAGCCTTGGGAAACCATTTCAGAGGAGGCAAGTGCCAGTGGGGATTCCTTAAGCTTGTCACTGCCACCTCCTCCTGCATCTCCAGTGTCCCGGACCAGTCCTCAGGAGCTGTCTGAGGAGCTGAGCAGAAGAGGTGAGGTGATCACACAGAAGGCAAAGGGAAAGAAGGCTTTGTCTGTATAAAATCTGAACTTAGTTTCTTCTCTTTCATTAGCCTTGGGAAACCATTTCAGAGGAGGCAAGTGCCAGTGGGGATTCCTTAAGCTTGTCACTGCCACCTCCTCCTGCATCTCCAGTGTCCCGGACCAGTCCTCAGGAGCTGTCTGAGGAGCTGAGCAGAAGACTCCAGGTCACTCCTGATTCCAATGGGGAACAACTCGGCTCTTTGATTGTACGTGATGTGTAATCCCTAAAGCTCTGTGCAGAAATGTGCTGTTCTTTGGCATAACCTGAATCACTTCCACGCACAGGGAGCAACTGCTGGGCTCAGGAAACCCTGAGCATGCAGTTAAAATTCCCTTCCAAAAAATGTATCACAGCTTCACCAGCAAGCAAACTGCCTCAGACAACAGAATTCCTCTGTTCAGATTTCAGGAGTTCTGTGTGAGTTTAACTGCAGACTCTACTACTGTTAGACCTTAGTGAAACAAAGTAGATGAGAGTCCAGGGTATCAAGATGGGGATTTCCAAAGGAAAAGGAAAACCAAAAAAATGGTCTCTCTGTTTGTGTTATCCATTAGTCAGATACCATTAAAAAGTCAGGATAATGCATGTACAAGTGGGGGAATGTTTTATGTCTCTTTGATTACAAAAATAATTGTAAATATTAAACAGAGCATCATGCTCTTACTTATTTTTTATTCTTAGTATGATGCTATCAAGGTACCTCTGCAGTTCAGGAGATGAGAAGTACTTTTGTCTCATCAAACAGAATCTTCATTAGGTGTATTTTTCCCAAAAAGCCAGTGCAGTTGGGCTCTGCCTGATGGGAATGTCCCCTGGAGGTTGGTCAGCCAGTGACAGCTCTGATGCTCTCCTGGATCTGCATGCAGAGGCACTTGGGCTTGTGTTGGGAACTGCAGTTCTGGTAGCCCCCCGCTGTTTTTACTGCACATGTGGCAGTGTTCTCCTAAACACTGCTGAGTCCTGGAGTGCCCAGCTGCACTGGGGGGGAGGAATTGCATTCTAGTGTCACACGTGATGTGTGTCTGCTTTTTTAGGGGGGCTTTGTTCACAATCATGAAGGATGTGTCATGGGAAAAGACACAACTAATTCAAAAGTTAGCAGCAAAGAGGAAGATTGAAACAAATTTATTCTTTTTAAGAAATACCATAAATTTTTAGGTAAATTAATTTTTAAGACTTTGAGCTCTCATCCATAGTATTTGATTTTGGATATATCTCTTAATGCTTTATTTTTTTCAATAATTCCTGAGTTTGTTCATGTTGGCATTTCTCCTTTAGGAAAATGAATGGACCCTTTTTAGGAAGGGCCATATAGGAAGTAGAGAAATGGGATATACCCCTCTGTGGTAAAACAGAACTAGGTAGTTGTTTGCTATAAAGAGGTTAGCACCTGTCATTACTGAATTTTCTGAATGAACATCATGTTTTAAGACACCCTAACATGGAGACATCTTTCTGTTTTCTTCCATGCAGCAAAGAGAACCTTCTTCACGACTGAGGTCCTGCAGTGTGACAGACACAGTCGCTGAACAGTCCCAGTTATCCCTGGTAAGCCAGAGCTCCTTCTTTTTTGGGTGGACATTCTCTCATTCTGAGCCTTGGGTCAGCTCCAGTCAGGCACAGATCAGTGACCAAGGTGGGCATCTGATTGTCCCAAACCAAATTCAAATGAGCAAAAAAAGGACATTCCTGAGACTTGTTCAGTTTGGAGACTGAACAAGTCACCCTCTCCTCAGTTATTTACTGTGGAAATTTAGGTTACTGCACTCCTATGTGCACTCAGTGGAGAAACTCCTCCTGGGAGTTCCCAGCTGGGGGAGGAGAGGACAGGAGAGCCAGCTCTACCTGAGCTGCAGCAGCCACAGGACTCTGATAGCAGACTTATTTCTGTGGCCCATAAGTTCATTTTACTTGCAATATATCAGTCTGTGTGAAATCCCAAAGGATTGGTTGTAGAGAAAAGGAGGCAACTTCTGCAGGTTTACTTAAGGAGATTGTTCAAACAGGAAAAGATAGAAAGATGTTTTGTGAACAAAGGTTCTCTCTCCTGTCAGAACCATGCACACTGTGCTGCAGCTGACAGGAAGTGGTGCCTCTCCTGCAGCCCATGTCCAAGGGCTGCAGGGGTGGCAGGTTTGTTCTCTCTGCCACCTCTCAGCAGTAGATACAGAGACCACTTAAAATAGGAGTGTGCAGGGTGTGCTTTTGAATAAAACGGGTCAGATTGCAAAAGAATCTTTCAAAAGATTATACTTCATTTTCTTCATTTTTAAAGAGTTATAAGTATGTCCCATGTGAATCTGCAAACAGAAAACCTGTGCATACCAAGAAGTTTGTTACCAAAGTTGCTGTGCCTGTGTTGCTTGTTGTCTCTGCTTCTCTTGGGTGAACATTTCCAGAAACCACAGAGGATTTCTCTTGGCTGGGTTTTCCCCGTGCTGTAGCAGTTATTTAGTGCAGCTACAGCATGACTGGCTCTGGGTGGGTCCAGTGCAGCCTCTGTGCCTGGCTGCAGGGGGAACAAGGGCTGCTGTGCTCTTCCTTGCTGTGTTCAGCACGCTGGGGCCAGGGGCTGGGTGTGGGGAGAGAGGCCTTTCTCCTGCTTCTTGAGGGACACTCGCTGAGCACACCTTCAAACCAGCACAGAGAGCATTGCCCTAAACACCCTCGTACCTGAGCTTAACCACATTTCATCCTTCCTGAGCTAATGATCATTTCTCTTCTGGCTGCTGAGTGCCTGTTCCTCCTCAGTGCAGCGCTCCTCTGGCATTCTGCCTTGGTTACAGCAGCTGATGACTTTGAGATTTGCTATTACCCATCTAACTGCTCTCTTGGTAAATGTGTCTGATGCCTTGCTCCTAAAGATGGTAACCTGTGACCTTCTTCAGTAAATCTGTGTAACGTTAATTATCATTTAACAGCAGAATGGTCCCTCTAGGAGAGCTCGTTCTTCAACTGTCACAGGGGGAGAGGAGCCAACGGTAATACAACTCTTTATCAAGCACTATCTTTAAATAAAACGGGGGCACATTTAGGTCTTGTACAATGAGGAACTTTTTTTTAAAAAAAAGCAGCCACGTGTTGAATGAAATACAGCATTGAATGAGAACTTATATATTTTTGTCCCAAATTTTCTCAATATTTCTCAAAACACTGCAATTGTACTCAAATACTGGCATGGTTTAGGGACGTGGATGTGATATTGAATTATGACAAAGCTGTATGCTAAGTAAATGCCATGTGCTCCTGAAAAATGAAAGCTACAGCAGCTAATTCTTTTAAAAGGGAAGCTGCAGTGATTTAGAGACATCAAATCATTGTACATGTAGCTGTGTTTGTATCTTGTATCTTCTTGTCTTCCCTTACTCTCCACTAGACTAATGAATTTTAATTCTTAAAGTTGGTCTTAATTTGAGAGCCTTGGGGGTACAGTGATATAGCACAGAGCTCTTAATGGTCTTACTGAATGCCAGTTTCATTTTCCAGCAGTTCCTCAGCAGTCCAAGCAGTACAAGACTAGTTTGATCATCCCCTAAAATTCTTGATATGCTTTGCTGAATGTGTATTACAAGGAAAGTGGGTTTAATCTGTATTGAACTTTAATCTAATTATATATGTTGAACCTTTAACCTAATTAACTGCCAATCTGAAGTGAGTTATTTGACAGAAATCATTTACAGTAACTGTCATAAATGGCTTTTATGAATTTATGCCCTCCTGGAGAATTTGTTTCAGAGAAAGAAATTTAATTTATACTTGGTATAAATTGCTATTTGCATCTGGGAAATAAATTAATCTTACTTCGGGTGTTGATGCATCGCTCTGTTTACTGTCTATCTTCACTGGTTTTTAATTTTAGAACCAGAGGAGCACACTTGAAAATAGCAAAGTCTAAATAAAATGCCTGACTCATTAGTAGTTAGTTAATTGTGCTAGGTGAGCTTGCACGTGGTACTCCCTTGGTAGAGCATCTTGTCTTGATTTGACTTTTTAGAGCAAAATATTAATATTTTGACTCATCATTAGTGTAGCCATAGCAAGATGTTTTACCTCACCATGCTGCAGTATCTAATCCCCCCTTGTCTTTGTTCAGCATTTACACCCAGAGTCCCAGATCTGTGGAGGATTCATGGTCTAAATCCTTTGTCTTCAAAGGCTGCCCTCTCTTGGGTCTGTGGGCACCTGATGCTTGCAGAAAAACAACCTGTCAGCAATAACAGTCTCTGGTCACTTGGTTTTGCCTTCAGAATCCCTACAAAGCCCCTCCTTGGAGCAGGACCCGCAGGTCAGGCCCAGAGCAGTGTCCTTCTCATGTCTGAGCTGTAACAGACACTGTGCAGTGTCTGCAGTCCTTCTGTGGCCTTCCTGACCCCAAAGTGATGGACTGACAGCCGCTGGCACAGCGTGGGCAAGGTGTTCTCCTCACTGCCTGCCAGCTCTGTGAACCAGCACAGGGGAGATGGCCCCTGGCTCTTCAGGAGAGAAGGAGATGAGTCTGAGATCTGCACTTGCATTCTCATCTGTTTCCCAGTGGAGTATGTCAGCTTCCTGACCCACCCCGTATCTCTTCTCCTTTCCTTTCTTCATGGTCCCTGCAGTTCTCCAGTTCCTTGTGTCAACTGTGCTCTGCTCTTCAGCAGCACCTGCACTGCCTATGGCAGTTGCTCTGGGAAAGGTCTGGCAGAGATGAAGCAAGAACAAGAATTAAGTTTGTTATCTTGCTGAAGCAAGGAATATAGTGGGGAGGAAGAGAATGTGTCCTGGATTTCAGCAGGAGCCTTCAGAGGCCTTTCCTGTTTCTTGGCAAAACCCCAGAGCCTGTAGTGCATCAGCCTCTGAATTAGGCAGGTCCTTCATCCCACTTGGTTCCAGTTCCTAGCTCAAGTGTATGAACTCGTGCTTGGGTATTTTGGGGACAGGAAGGACACGAGACAACATCAGCCACACACAGGGACACAGTTCCTGTGGGCAGCAGGATGTGACTCTTCCCTTACCTTCTTCTTAGAACAGGGAGCCTGTGGAGCTTCTACTAAAAGTTTTTGTCATGCTGAAGTTGAGGCTCCAGTTTGGGGTTATCTGGTGTCGCTGGGACACAGAACCCTGAGTGCAGCATTTGTGACAGAGCAAAATGGTTAAAATTAACTTTCTAAACCCACAGTAGTTTCAGGTAACTGATTCAAGACACCCTGGGGTAAAGAAGAGAGCAGGACTTGGGAGATCTTGACTGCATGGCTATTTAACTCTTACTTATCCATCCTGATAAAAGGAGGAAACCTCAGCATTTCGTGACTCTTCCCTTACCTGTGTGCTTCTCTTAGGACAGGGAGCCTGTGGAGCTTCTACTAAAAGTTTTTGTCATGCTGAAGTTGAGGCTCCAGTTTGGGGTTATCTGGTGTCGCTGGGACACAGAACCCTGAGTGCAGCATTTGTGACAGAGCAAAATGGTTAAAATTAACTTTCTAAACCCACAGGAGTTTCTGGTAACTGATTCAAGACACCCTGGGGTAAAGAAGAGAGCAGGACTTGGGAGATCTTGACTGCATGGCTATTTAACTCTTACTTATCCATCCTGATAAAAGGAGGAAACCTCAGCATTTTAAGGAAAACTCACTAAAACAGAGTTCCTTTTTGTCATTATGGGTAACAAAATAGAATGTTTGTGGGCATGTAAGCTTGTCTGTTTGCTGAATCTGTGTCAAAGTGACCCAAAAGATATCTTGGGAGAAAAAAATTATTTGATTCAAAGGCACATGATAAAGAGCTTGAATTAAATTAAATTAGAAACTGGGTTTTTCCATATGGTTGTCGTGATTAAGAAGAGTGTAAGTTAACGAGTTGCTTTGTTTTTTTTTACAAACAACAGAGTTTTAAATGTTTTTTTAGCTATTATATAATAAGAATTCAATGATTTCTTGCCTTCTGTGAGCAGCCTTCTGTGGCTTATGTGCACACCACGCCGGGCTTGCCTTCGGGCTGGGAGGAGCGCAAGGACGCCAAGGGCCGGACCTACTACGTCAACCACAACAACCGGACCACAACGTGGACACGGCCCATCATGCAGGTACCTGGGAGCCAGCCTGGGCTTGGCTGAGGGTCATTCAGCTGGGGCAGCTTCCAGAAATCCCAGATGTAAAGCAAGCATCCTAATCGTTGTCACGGCAATACAGATGAATCATAAAACGCTGCAATAATTTAGGATGGTTTTGGTTACTTCTTTTAGTTATGTCAAGGCACAGGTTAAGGTGATTGCTGCAAGAGAAGGAATTTCCAGAGATGCAGAAGAGCTCTTAAAAGGAGGCAAATGTGTTGTTTGAATTAAATGTGAAAGTCGGCTCTAGCCATTAATAGAACCATAGGCTCTTGGCCCTTCCAGTGCAATTACATTAAATACCCTTTATGGCCCTTAAGGAAATGTGGTTGGGAACAGCAGTGACGATGACAATACCAATACAATGTCAGTTTGTCGTGTCCCGTGCGAGGGCAGCGTTTGTGACCCGGCTTTGCTCTGGCACAGCTCGCCGAGGACGGCATGGTGGGGCCGGGCGCCAGCAGCAGCAACCACCTGAGCGAGCCGCAGATCCGGCGGCCCCGCAGCCTCAGCTCGCCCACTGTCACCCTGTCTGCGCCGCTCGAGGTGAGCCCCTCCCTCCTCCCTTCAGCCTTTCTTCTGAGTCTCTTTCCAAGTAATTCCACCTGCTGTGGGCTGATGTTCGCTGTGACGTGGCTCAATAGCTGACGTGGCTCCCTACGCGGGCAAAGCCTGTGCGTGTTCGACCTCAAACTCTTGTCTCAGGTACTCATGGCTGTGCTGAAGAGAGCCAGTTCTTCAGATTTCCTGTTTGAAGAGCTGTGGCTCACACAGCCTTGCACTTACAGGCTTTCTTGTAAATGAGATATACTGCCCCTGAAGCACAAAACACTGCTTTTGTCTTTGCCTTGGTAAAATGAAATACGGACACATCCAGGGCAGGTGCAGAGGAAGGTACAAGGCACAGAACACCGTGTCCTTTACAGCAAAGGACCGGGCATGTTAGAAGGCACGGGTAGAGCTAATTAAGTTCTAGTAAATCAATCCCAGCGTTTAATTCTGGTATGAATTACATCTGGAATGAAAAGCTGTTTGCTGTGAAGCCACGGTGGGTTGGTTTCGCAGCCCCGAGTGCGCAGCGGTGCCGTTTCCTCTCCGCAGGGCATGAAGGACTCTCCGGTGCGCAGGGCAGTGAAGGACACCCTGTCCAACCCTCAGTCCCCACAGCCGTCCCCCTACAACTCGCCCAAGCCCCAGCACAAGGGGGCCCAGAGCTTCCTGCCCCCGGGCTGGGAGATGCGCATCGCCCCGAACGGCCGCCCCTTCTTCATCGACCACAACACCAAGACCACCACCTGGGTAAGGGCGCTCCAGCCGAGCCCCGGGGGCCCGGTCCCACCTCTGCCTCTGCCTGCACGCCCCTGTTTCAGCGTGGCACTGGTCTTTGTGCTTCTAAGAGCCAAAAATGTGCATGCGGATGTAAAAGCTCTTGGGGAGTGCAGGCATCCTAAGAACAGACCTGTGGTTTTTGGAGCGTATCCCTGGACACAGCACACATTTAATGGAGTCAGGTTGTACATCACTCAGCACGGGAGAATTCATTGCACTGTAGAGGTCCTAATAAGTCATGTTTTGTTTTATTCTCCGAAAAGAAAAGAATAACTGTAACATAGGAGCATTTCCAGACGAGTCTGTGCTTGACTTTGTTGGATTTACAGTTGCATACCTGTTTTCCAGGAGGATCCACGGCTGAAGTTTCCGGTGCACTTGAGATCCAAAGCGTCTCTGAACCCCAATGATTTGGGCCCTCTTCCTGTAAGTGATGCTGTGCCTGTGTTCTAACCTACACCTCCTGTCCCAGGGCTCTGCTCTGTTCTGGGCACAGGCTGCTGCAGCTCTTCCTGGAGCCTCTGGAGCCCTGCTGTGCCCTCCAGAGCCAGCCCAGGAGGCTCTACTCACGGCATTTTTCTGTGCTGCTGAAGTGTTGGGCTTTGCACACACTTACCTGGGCTGTGTCTGACTGTGCTTTTAGATAATCATAATCACTGCTTAGGAAAAACAGAGCAGATTGTGCCAAGCAAGCTCTATCAGTGCACCAGCATATTCTAGCAATTAGAAATCAGAAAAAATTTTGATTTTTCAATGAAACCTCCGTCTTTTGCAGAGCAAATAATCAATTTAGTGTCAGGAGTTTTGTCATACTTGTAATCAAAGTATAATGGGGATTTATAGACATTTATAGAGCTTTGCTTTGTTTTTTTTTAAAATACTCCCAGCCCTTAAAGGTAATGTGTGAAAGCTGACTCATTCCTGGTCACAGCAGCAGGAATGCTCTTTGGCTTTAGGAAACAGCTGTGCTCTTGCAGTGTCCAGGTACGTGGGGCATGTGTTAACCTTGAAGGCCCAATTACAATTTGTTTTGTTAACTGCAAGGGGTGAAACAAGCAGTGAAACCAGGGTAGCCTGACCTGTCACTAGCAACAGATTTCACCTCAGCTAAACCTTCTGGTTTGGAGCGAGGTTGGGATGATGACAGAATTTAACATGAGTTTCTCCAACAAGCTTGAAGTGAAATAATTTCTCCTCTGTATTTTCTGGCAGCCCAGGCTGGCCAGCATTGCCTGTCCCTACAGCCTGCCATCCGCTCTCCTTTCTGCACTGCAGGCGCTTGGGACGTGAGAAAAGGGAAAGGATGAAAGGGGAAGCACTGAGGACTAGCTTAGGACATTCCTGTCCCCCTGTACAGGGAGCCTGGGTTACACATTTACAGTAAATAACCCACGTGGCTTTCAGAAGAGGGAGCAGAAACTTTCAAACTAAGCCACGGTGGACCATCTGTTCTCTGTGATTGTTTGCTCACAGAGGAAATGGGTGGGAATCCTGAGGCAAGAGGTTTCCACTATAAAAAATATTCCCTTGGATAAGATCTAGGTCTGAGTCTGCCTGGATTTGTGGCCTTGCCACCATGCATCTGGTCACTTGGGGTTTCCTACCTCATAAGCATCTTTGAGACAAGTCCAGTAGGTGTGAGCATTGCACTGCTTCAGGCTGTGTGAGACTGCTATTATTTCATTTACTCTCTCTTTTCTTTGTTTTTATTTCCCATTTCCAGCCTGGCTGGGAGGAAAGAATACACCTGGATGGAAGAACATTTTATATAGACCATAGTAAGTAAGCACTCAGGTACTAGAGCAAATAGACAAAGGGAGGTACTAAGTATTGAAGTGAAAGCTTTGTGATTTTACTCTTCATTTAGGAAGCCAGGTGTTGATATGTGGAGACATTGATACCAGAGACTTAGTGCCCTCCTACGGTACTGTACATTCACTGGAAGCTTGCTTTAATTGGCTCATCAAGCTTTGTCCCTCTCTGACTTGTGAAGCATTAACATTTCCTCTCTGTGGTTTATTTTGTTCTTGTTGATATTTTGGATTTGTTGTTGTTGTTGTTGATGATCCCATGGCTTATTTGCACTTAATAAATTAAAATACAAACTAGGAATAGAAAATAAGATGAGAAAAGATCCTGTAGCCACAGCTCCACATATAGGCAGTGGAGCAATTAGCATTGAGAAGTACTTTCTTCTGCTTTCAGGTCTGTGGCAGTGCTGATTCTGATCTTATTTCCTATTTAGAGCATGTGAAACTGCACCAGCCCATTAATATTCTCCAGTTCTGTTAGTGGAGTTTTAGTGTAAGTGATGTTTCTTTGTAGATTTGTCTTCCTAGAGCATCTCAGAACTGCTGTGTGAGTTTTGTTGGTGTTTGGAAACAAAGCAGCCCACAAAGGCTGGGCTGGGTCTTCTTATAATAAGACATTTCTTCTCAGCCATAGCTAACTCTCATAACCATCACAGGAGCGTGCACAGAGAGTTAAAACCTAACCTTACCCATGTTTGAAAGAATTAGGTTTGTCCCTCAGTATCACTGACTCCCACGCTCATCCTTAGAGATGACAGTATTAAGTCATCATTAAAAGACTGCCTTTAAAGTAAGAGCAGCTTTGAAATGGTATAAATACTTTTAACTAAACATTAGAAGTAATACACTTGTCAAGCACCCGATGAACCTCTTCCAAACTTTGGTACAGAGTTATTATCCTTCATCCTTTCTGTAATTGTTTTTCCCAACAGAGATCTGGAAATATAACTATGGCCAATGATTCTAAACTGCTGCCACGAAGGAGTCACAGGATAAAGCTGTGCCATTTAAAACACCCGTGTAACTGCTGAGCCTTCCAATCTCTCTTAAAAACTCTTCAATTTTTCAGTCTCCTAAAGCTATTTGAGCACGTGTTAGTCCCTAAAATGGAATGTTGAAGTCATATATTAATTAGAATTCCTCAAAGAATTTGTAACTGTTAGGACGCAAAATTTATGTGCATCTGAATTCTCCCTCTAGTCTCTTTTGATCCGAGTGGATTTAATTTCTTATATAGCATTTTTCCCCAAAGTTTAGGAAGCTTTGGAAGCTTTTGGTAATGCTGCCTGTTTCCAGCAGATGTCCCTTTGGTCCCAGCCTGAGCACTGCTGTGGTGGCTGGGCTGGGGGGCCTGGAGGGCCAGGGGCTGTGCCACTGCCAGGACACAAAACCAGCAGGACAAGTCTGACAGAGTCAGCTGCTGGTCACGTCCTGTTCCCTGCTATGTTTTGTACCTCTGCTGCATGGTCCTCCAGTGCTCTTTGTCCTATTTTTGAAATGTTTTTTCTCATCCCTGGAAGAAACTGCCAAAGTCCCCTGCAGCCAGCACAGCCCCTCTGCTGTGCACAGGGACCAGGAGCACTGAGCACTGAATGCAGCACACTGGTGTGACAGTGAGCCCCTTTCCCTGCTCTCTGGGCCCTTACCTTCCATGGACACACTGGTTCCCTGTTCCCTGCACTCTGCTGCTATTCCTGGAGCCTCCCAGGCACGTGCTGTCTACCTGCTGGAAGGGATCAGAAGGGAGAGCAACCATTCTGCAGCCGTTTTGTGAACCAGTGATTCACGGGCAGGGAGGATAGATACATTGAATGGGCTCCCCTCAAAGTCTGTCCACATCCACCTGCACACGGTGATATTCACAATGTGCATCAGTGATTTACACAAGGAATTAGGGGGAACCACTCCTTAGCTCAGCAGGAGAGGGGAGAGGGGATCACTGGAATGGGATGGGAAGGCAGAGTGAGTCTGGCAAATGGCCACTGCAGTGTGCAGGAAGGGGCTGTGCAAGGAGAATGGCAAAGTGTTACTCAGAATGGGAGTAATCAGCAGAATTTGGGTTGAAAAGGGCATGAAAAATACCATCACCTGGTCATGAGCTATCTCACCCTGTGACAGGAGTGCCTAAATCCAACCTGGAGTGACCCTTCTGATGCCATCAGCACTAGCAATGTCTGGCTGTGACAGTTCTGTATCTGGCAGGGGGTCCCAAAATTCAGGGAAACAGCGGCCCCATTGGAAAGACAGGGAGAAGAGGGAATCCTCCAAGGCCTGAGAGCCTGGTTTATCACAGAGAACTGTATTGGTAGGAAGATTGAAATTTCTAAAATTTTTGAAAATGTGGAGACTTTTGAAAAAGTTCTTCAAAAAGAATGAGTTTGTTATCCATGTCCACTTGGGATAGGACAGAGAATCCTGAGCTACAGTTCCAGGTGAAGTGGTTCATGCCAGAGCCTTGTAGCCCTGGAACACCATTTTTATCTGGAGTCCCTGTAAGAGTCTGAAAAGAAAGTTAGACTGAGATTCATTGGTGTCATTGCACACCCTGAAGCACAGAGAGCAAAGAGCTGACACACTGTCAGTCATTTCCACTTGTGTTGCCTCTGATTCCACAGAAAACTGGCACTGTGGTTTGTGGCTGCTGGTGTCAAGAAGGTGACCACAGAACTCTGTAGAAGGGAATGCCAGTGTAGGGGTTGAAAAAGGAAAGGGTTGGACTGGGTGTCCACCTTGGCAGCAACTCTGCTCCATGCATCTCTGGGGTCTCTGGAGCTCAGCATTCCCATCAGTGATAAATAGCTTTAATGTGTGAAGGGAAATAAAACAGTATTTTACTATTTAATTAACTGATAGATCAAATGTCTTGAAATGTGCTTGCAATCATTTAGAATTTTCTCCAGTTAACATATGCTCAGTGACACCTTTCAGATCCCACTCCCTCTTAAACCAGCTTGGGATGCAAACTTACAGGGCTTTTCCAGTTCTAGAGACATGGAAAATGCCATCTTGATTGCTGACCCCCAGTTCCTAACCCAGAGCAGTGTCTGTAACAAACAGAGGGATGGCAGGCCAAGGGTGATCAACACCTTGCCATTGCAGGTGGCACCTGGGATGGGGTTTGGAGCATTGTCTTATTGTTGCAACACCATTGTTTTGTTGTGATTCTGTCGTGTTCAGAATCTTGGGAGGAGCAGCTGTCTGGAGGCAGGGAAGGGGAGTCCCACCATGGTCCTGTAGAACCTTTCCTGTCATCCTCCTGGTGCTCTTCAAAGCTGTAGAAAGATGGAAAGAGCTGTTGTGCCACTGCCAGCATCTCCGTTGGTCATAACTGGGTGATTTGCTTGCACCAAAACAGGACAGTTCTGCCTCCCTTTGCCTTCTCATTAAATCAGAGCCTAGGAAAAATGTTATTCCCTCCAAATTTACAAGTATGATACTTCAGCTGTCTAGGCACAATTTCCAAACAGTAACCTAGGGTGTCACTGCCAAAAGGTCTGGGTTCTTTTACCTGTCAGGCTGTGTATCTCCAATCCCAGCCCATGTTCAAAGGAACATGTTCACTCGCTCCTGTAGATGTTGCCATCAAAGCAGTGCAAGTTCCCTGGGCTCTGGGGTAGTTGTGTGTTTTTGAGTGAATGTTTTCAACTAAACAGTGTGTTGGAGCTGGGGAGGGTGGGGACACACAAGCCTTTGCTAACCCTGACAGACCTGAGCAGTGCTAGGGAGAAAAGAACAACAGAAATTCAGTGTGGTACCAGAGAAGTTATTGGATCATTTCTTTTGTTATTTGCAGATAATAAAATTACCCAGTGGGAAGACCCCAGGCTGCAGAACCCAGCCATCACGGGCCCAGTAAGTACTGCTGTGGGATCTTCATGAAATGCTCTGCCAGTCCACATCCTAAGTCAGCAACAGCTGGGAATGTCACACCAAGTTCTGGGCTGTCTCCCAGACTGTCCAGGGTTTGGGGATGGTTCTGGAGAAGTGCTCCTGTTTACCCATTACCTGGGTCACTACTGACAGTAGCATTCACACCGTTCTGTTTATTTTGGAATCTCTAGGCAATGAAAAGCTCTTCACACTTGAGAGGAGACAGGTGGGCCTATGTAGATTCAAAGTGGGGAAAAAAGGCAAAAAATGGGTCTGTCAGTTTAAGAGACATAAAGCTTCCTGTGGATAAACAGAGGTTTGAGAATATCAGCCTTAGAAAAAAATAAACACTGCCTTTTACTTCAGTGTCAAATTTTTAAAATATCAAAGAGTGATTCTTTGACTTTTTCTGCTGGGTTATGCCATTTTATGCCATTTTTTGGTATTCTGAGTGATCAGACTTCCAATCCCAAGATGTTTTCTGGTGCCAGGAGTACGTTTTCATTCTGCATAAGTCCTTGGGACCTTTAAGAGTTTCAGTACATAGCAGATGAGCCTGCTGCACAGTTAAATGCCAATTGCTTAGTAATGATATCAGTAATAGTCACTTTTTGACCATAGTTCCTTTGGGAGGGATTTACTTATTTATCAGGCATTTAAAACTGGAGACCCTCACACACGGCACTGTGCAAATTGCTAACAGGCCTCTCTCCAGAAATGCTGAGCATAAATGAGAGAGACTATTTGAGAAAGTTTGTTTGAAGGAAATTAAATTATCGTGGTCTCCTCAAGCGACTGACAACCGTTTGTTGGTTTTAAGGGAAAGCAGGAGCTAATCAATTTCAGAGCAGCACTAAGGATTCATCTGAACGCTTTCAATAATATTTCTGATGCCATGACAAACAGATTTACTTAAATTGCATTTCACATAGTGTTTAAGTAAAGGAAACACACAGAAATATTTAATGGCTGTAGTAAAATCATATTATCATCAGTAAATGATCAGAGTAAAGCGATGCCATTTTGTGACAGCTCTCCTGGCTGCTGTCCCTGTGGGTGGGCTCAGGGGAGCCCATAGCACAGCGTGTGGGTGGCAGGGCTGTAACCCCTTTAAATGCTGTGGGCTGTCAAGCTGCTGAGTGGCAGGAATGACGTGTCCCCACCGCTCCCCACAGGCAGTGCCGTACTCCAGGGAGTTCAAGCAGAAGTACGACTATTTCCGCAAGAAGTTAAAGAAACCTGTGAGTAGAACGGGCTCGGGGGCTGCGGGGCACGCCTGCCTGCTTACTCCATCGTGCTGCTCACGAAGGGCTCAAGCAGTGACCAAAACACAAAGCATAGTTTGATTTTCATGGGTTTCTCAACAAAAGGCTTGAAATATTTAATGGCTGTAGTGAAGTCATATTATCATCAGTAAATGATCAGAGTAAAGCGATGCCATTTTGTGACAGCTCTCCTGGCTGCTGTCCCTGTGGGTGGGCTCAGGGGAGCCCATAGCACAGCGTGTGGGTGGCAGGGCTGTAACCCCTTTAAATGCTGTGGGCTGTCAAGCTGCTGAGTGGCAGGAATGACGTGTCCCCACCGCTCCCCACAGGCAGTGCCGTACTCCAGGGAGTTCAAGCAGAAGTACGACTATTTCCGCAAGAAGTTAAAGAAACCTGTGAGTAGAACGGGCTCGGGGGCTGCGGGGCACACCTGCCTGCTTACTCCATCGTGCTGCTCACGAAGGGCTCAAGCAGTGACCAAAACACAAAGCATAGTTTGATTTTCATGGGTTTCTCAACAAAAGGCTTTTCTAAGTCTTCAAGACTCGTATTTTTCTAGATAAATGCAAATGCCTTTAAAATAGAGCACAGTCAGTCTTTCTCCTTTGTTGTTTGGTTTGTTTGATACTTTTCTTGTAATTTTCATCAAATATTTAGCATAGAAGTCTGCAGCACTGTTCTGGAACTGGCCCAGTTTCCCCCATGCTCTCAGCCTGTGGACAGGAGAGCACTGGGAAATAAAAACACGGGGTACTGGAACACCAGGTTCTGAGCTGTCACCGAGCCCTTACCAACCTGTCATTTGCCCAAAGACTTATTTCTTGAGACTAACAAGGATAATCTAATCTTCTTTCACACAGGCTGACATACCCAACAGATTTGAGATGAAATTACACAGAAATAACATTTTTGAGGAGTCCTACAGAAGAATCATGTCTGTGAAGAGACCTGATGTACTAAAAGCCAGGCTCTGGATTGAATTTGAGTCAGAAAAAGGACTTGACTACGGAGGTGTGGCCAGAGAATGGTTTTTTCTCTTGTCCAAGGAGATGTTTAACCCTTACTATGGTCTCTTTGAATACTCAGCAACGTAAGTGTCCATTAAATATTTGTATTCTCAAGGGATGTACATTACATTTTGCATAAGAGGCAAAGTTGCTCTGGGCAGAAGTAGCTCCTCCTTTCTGGGGTGCCCTGGGCAGCCACACTGCCCTGTTCCTGCTGCCCTTCAGAGAGCCTCTGGAATTCTCCTTGAGAACCCAGAAAACATTTCCATTGCCCAGACAATATCCAGGGCAGCAAAAGTGCAGTTTTTGAGGCCAGTAATGGTGAAGGGTCACAGAAAAGCCCCTTTCCTCTGGTGCCCAGAGTTGCAGCGCTGCTGTAGCGCAAGCTGGGCACGCAGCTGCTCGTTCACACAGCAGGAGCTCCCCAGCAGTGGCCTCCCAGAGCTGTAACATGGGGGCTGCCCAGCTTTACAACCTTGGAGCAGTCTGTTAGTGCAAGGGGAGAGGGCAGCTCTTGCTCACAGTGGGTTTGGTTTGCTGCTGGGTCAGCCCTCAGTGGCTCCTTGGTGGGACAGACTGGAAAGGACTCGGACTCAGCCGAAGGGACATGCCCCTAGGCACAAGTTATTTATTAACGTATCTGAGTGTGTGCTTATTTAAAGACTCGGTTCTTTAGCTATTTTTTTTCTTTCCCCAAAAAAGGGACAACTATACACTTCAGATTAATCCTAATTCAGGTCTCTGTAACGAAGACCATCTGTCGTACTTCACGTTCATCGGCCGGGTGGCCGGCCTGGCTGTGTACCACGGGAAGCTGCTGGACGGTGAGTGCTGCTCCTGCTCTGCTGCCTTTGGGCAGGGGCAGTCTGGGGCTGGCACTGCTGAGACTCACATGATGATTCACAAAATTACAGTGGCTTACTCAACGAGTGGGTTGCATACAAAGTTTTGCTCCTTTCTCTGCTCAAGTTAAAACTCTAGAGCCACTGTCCCTCGAGGAGAAGCACGGAATTTGTATCGGTCATTTCCGTGCAAACCTGCAGCCAAACTAGGGGCGTCAACTGCGGCATATTTTGATATGTAAAATTATTGCTGAAGGATTTGATTACAATTTCTGCTGCATTTTGAAACCTCACACTAGGCAGACGTTACTGATCAGATTTTCCTGAGCCCTGGTGCAGAAGAGGAAGCAGAGGAATCCTGAGCAGAGGAAGCTCAGCAGCCTGGTTTTCAGGCAACTCCTTGGAGAGAGGAGCGGTGATTTTAAATGGGATAGTGTGTCCTGAGCTCAATTCCCCAGCTCTCTCTGCCATTAGTGTTAGGGTGGTTAGTGGATAATTGTAGAAACTGAAAAATTGGACTTTCTGTGCCTCGGTAAACCTGAGCTGCTGTGATGCTGATGCTGTTGCAGTTGCAGGACTGTTACAGTCAGGAGGTAACAGGAAATGCCAGGGGTGGTGCCCTCAAGCAGTCATACCTTTATGGAATGTGCAGGCGCAGAGCAGGGCACGTAATGCTCTCCTCTCTCTTGCAGGCTTCTTCATCAGACCGTTCTACAAGATGATGCTGGGGAAGCCCATAACGCTGAAGGACATGGAATCAGTGGTAAGACCCCACTGAACCCGTGCCAGGGCTCACAGGCCCCTGGGTTTCTACAACTCTGCACTAATTGCCCATTTTCAAACTGCCTAATTGTGATCTGCCCTAGGACAGCGAATACTACAACTCTCTGAAGTGGATCCTGGAAAATGACCCTACAGAGCTGGATCTCATGTTTTGCATAGACGAGGAAAACTTTGGACAGGTACGTAAAGTTTATTTACATCTTAGAACTGGTACCAACAAGTACCTCAGTCCTGAGCAGAGTCTCGTGGTGAGGGATGCACTGGTCAGCCTCCACCTCGCTGTGTTCCCAGCGGGGACAGGGGGTGCCACATCCCTGTCAGGGAGCCACAACAGCTCTGGGACAAGCTGCATGTGCAGCTGAGTAAAACACTTGGAGGAATAAAGGTGTCCCACAGTCCAGCTGGGACGTGGTGCCAGCCCAGGGACTGCCTGGCTTTCTGAGGCTGAAGGTGTCCTCAGAGGGGAGCAGCACAGTGACACCAGGGAGGCCCTTTCTGTCGTGCCTGTCACAGCAGCTGCTGCCACAACGGGGGAAGCTGCCAGCTTTAAAAGGGTCACAGGCAGTGGGTAACTTTGGCCATTTCAAATGAAAATGTTGTAGACATTAAAATTAATTAATTTGCTTAGAGGCTTTTATGACCTTTTTTGGTGTCATCACTTTGTTTACTTCTGAGACCTAGGTCCTGGCTCCAGGTACAACTGGACCTGGGGACTATAGGGCCTTTTATAAAAACTTACTTCAGCAGTTCAAACTATGCACTCAATGCCCTGTCAAAAACATTCTGATCCACTTTCCAGTGCGTACTGCCTTTTTCCTGAAGCATAATCCACAAGGTTATGGATTACATGGAGAACTAGGGAGAGTATTGAAGCCACAGAACACAGAGGTTTTGTAATATACTGATTGGCTTTGGCAATTTCAATAGGTGATTTAGCTTCTTTTATTATAAAAGCTATTATAATTTTGTATATGTAAAGTACGTACTTAGTGGTTATATTTGGTGTAAATATATCATTTTATTATTATAAATAATAGTTATAATAAAATTATTAGTAAATAGTCAGCATCTGCCAGTTTGCTCTTCTGTCAGCACAAGTTTGTTCAAAAGTGTAAATCAATTTACTAATGATTTCCTGATGCTGCTTGTAAAATGCTGCTCAGGGAGAGCGGGTCCTGGAGTGGGTTCCCAGATGTCCTCAAATAACCAGAGGTTTTTTGGTCTCCTGAAATACAGACATATCAAGTGGACCTGAAGCCCAACGGGTCCGAAATCATGGTAACGAATGAAAACAAGCGGGAATACATTGAGTAAGTAGCATTATGGGATGTGCCTGGGGGTAAGAAGGAGCAGTTGTACTTACAATTGACCCTGCTGCAATTCCTGTCGTTTGTACTGCACAAGAGCATCAGGGATCGCTGGGAAAAAAAAAAAAAAAAAATTCCTGTCGTTTGTACTGCACGGAGAGCATCAGGGATCGCTGGGGAAAAAAAAAAATCTTACTGTTATCATTGGTTATATCCAGTCAGACATAAGAACAAAGAGGAAATTAAGTTACATGCTTTGTTCTCCTGACATTCCCCCCCATGGAAAAGTGCATCTCCAACATCTGGCTCGAGTTCAGATGAGCCAGAAGGTGCTGTCCAGCCTGACCCTCATCCCCCTGTCCTCCTCTGCCAGTCACAGACCAGAGCCAGGATTCCAGTGCCAGCATCCCTACCAAAAATTGGCCAAATCTGAAACTAGGTTTTATTTTCAGCTTTCTCAGTTCTTTCACCTACCAGGATGTCAAATGCTAAATTCACTTATATCTGCTGGCATTTTAAATCAGGGCCTTTTCCAAGGTGAAAGACATTAAAATTGATACATTCATGCAAATTGGGAATTCATTTCCAGTGCCTGGACCTGGACCAATTAATTCCATACCTGGAACTGATTTTTTTATGCCTGCACCTGTGAGGTGTTTGTGCTGTGGGTGACTGGTACTGAAAGCGAGGTGTCCCTTTGATGCTGCAGTTTATTTCTTTATTTATAGGTGAGATGCTGTCCTGACAGCTCTCCTCAGGGCTTGCAGACTTTGTTGGGAATTTTTAATTACTCAGTGCTCTGGAAGAATAAAATGTCTGCTCACGTAGGTACCTACAGGAGCAAAAATATTCCCACTGTGATTTGGTCACAGTCATTGGGGTTTTTGGTTTGTTTCTTCAAAATTCCATCAGTCACAAGCCAATAAATTTCACAACTGGTGAAAGCTGCTTAGTTACCTGAAGCTGCTGAAGTTTAAATGACAAACTGAAAACACTTGGAGTTGCTGAAACCTCTGAGCACTTGGCTAAGACCTGCTAACGAGTTTGTTTTTCTGATGGGGTTTTGTTTCTTTCTGCAGCCTGGTCATCCAGTGGCGGTTTGTCAACAGAGTGCAGAAACAAATGAATGCCTTTCTGGAGGTGAGGCTCTTCAGCTCCTTTCTTTCACAAAAGTAGGGATTTTTTTCTAACACACATTTCTTACCCACTGGTGTCTGTGTAAAGGGAGCAGGGAGCTCGGCAGGGAATGCAAATAGAATACTTATGTTTATGGTTTTTCAGTTTTATCTTTTGTAAGAATGTATCATCTTTCCCTTATGAGAATAAAGTCATTCTCTTTCAAGTTTAATTATTTGAGCTTGTAGTAATTTGGTCATTGACGTTTTCAATAAGGATTTATGTGGGATGAGAGTTTTACCTTTGCTCTTTTTCTTTTTAGGGATTCACAGAACTGCTTCCTATTGATCTGATTAAAATTTTTGATGAAAATGAGCTGGAGGTGAGTCAATCTGGTGCCCCAAGCTGACAGTTCTCTGACAGATGCTCCATGTTCTGGGCTCTTCAGTCATCCATCCCTCTCCCTAAGGGAATGTGCAGACACAGTGCCTTGCTCAGAGTTGGAAATTAGATGTTTCTTCCTAATGAATAAATCTATTCGTGACATGCGAAGAACTGCACTCAGGGAGGTGCTTGGGGGTGTGCCTCTGAAAGCAGCTTAGTGGCTAAGTGCCATCCTGCCTCTGCCAGTCACATTTGAGCCAAACACATGGCTGTCACATCGTGGCAGTGTGCAGCCATCCTCCAGTAACTGGAATAGTCTGTGGGGAAGCTCTGACTGCCCTGGGTGTGCATTAATGACTGAAGGTCAGAGCCCTGAGGGGCAGTGACACCTTGCACCCCAGGAGTGCAGGGAAGCACACACTCATTCACATCCCACCCTTCTCTTTCCCTGCAGTTACTGATGTGTGGCCTTGGCGATGTCGATGTCAACGACTGGAGACAACACACCATCTACAAAAATGGTTACTGCCCAAATCATCCCGTTATCCAGTGGTTCTGGAAGGTAAGGCTGGCACCACCTCTGACTGCTCCTGGAAGTGGAAGTTATTGCCCTTTTTTGCAATCATTTTTCTTCGAGAAAACTGCTAAGAATGGGGGGGTGTTGTGCTGGGGGGCAGGACCTGCTCCCACCTCGCTCAGGCGAGGGCGGGTGTAGCTCTTGCTGGAGCAGACAATCCATTGTGTCCTGGGTTGGCTCATACAGAAGGTGACTCGTGCTGGCTTTGGGCTGCTCCTGGGGCCCATCCAAGGCAGGGTGGTGTGTCCATGGTGTCCCTTTGCCCACAGGCTGTTCTGCTGATGGATGCTGAGAAGCGGATCCGGCTCCTGCAGTTTGTGACCGGGACGTCACGTGTGCCTATGAACGGATTTGCTGAACTTTACGGTGAGCTGCTCTGAGCCTCTGGCCTGCACGTGGCACTCAGCTCTCAGTGTTATCTCTGAGCTCACTTCTGGGCATTAGGCAGCTCTGAAACCCACTCACTGGGCCTGGAAAGAAAGAACCACGTTCATGTTGCTTTAATGTACCTGTTACAGGTGAAGAATCCAGCCCACAGCTGATGCCAGCATTTCAAGTTTAAAATAATGCTGAAGCAGTCTCTGTAGCAATTTCTGTTTCATATGGTTTTCATTTTCATCCAGGTTCAAATGGTCCTCAACTGTTTACAATAGAGCAGTGGGGAAGTCCTGATAAGCTGCCCCGGGCTCACACCTGGTAAGTCACCAAAGCATAAATTCCAGAGCTGCTCCTGCCTGAAGGGCCACGCTGCTGATCATGCTCAGCTCAGCATCCAACAGCTTTTGATCCTGTGGGTCCCCAGTGCCTTCACAAACTGGGAAACTGAAGGATATTCTTTCATTTCCCACATCCTAGTAAGTGGATGTAATTAACTACAGCAAGTCAGACATTACCAAACAGCCATAGAAAGCCCTTAAATCATTGGAGAACTCAAAACAAATGTAAGATTATAAGATAATTTAACCCTAGTTTATAGATTTTGCAAACATTAAAGCATCCAGTACAAATTTGTCTTGCTCTGTTACATTTCAGGAATGTGGCTTTTTAAAGAAAAATGGTGCTGAATTGGAAAACTATTTTATAGAGTGTCAGTACAGACTTGGGGATCTTTCTGTGAACTAATAATTCTATAGAATAATGAGCTTTTATTTAAAAAAAAAAAAACAACCTGAAAACAAAAGCACAAAACCTACCAAACACAATCAACAATACTACCCTGAACACACTCCAAAATCAACCCATCCTCTTTGGGTTCCAGTTCTCTGCTAACTTATACCTTTGGAAGATTTTCTCTTGGATGTTTAATCTTTTTTCCCTCCAGAGAGCAAGGGATGTGTCCTCTAAATCCAGAATATCTTTGCTGAGCTTTAAGAAATCAGTCCTTTAACAAAGATTGCTTTCCATCGTCTAAATACAGTGAAGGGCTTTCTGTTGGCTTTTTCCCTCTCCGAAGTGATTCTTACCAAATTCCTGCTTCCAGCTTTCCAGAGGAAGGCAGCACACAGTTACTGGAGAGCTCACCCAGGCAGGTGTGAGGCATGCAGGGAACACTGTGGACCACAGGCCGCATCCTTAATCAAGACTCCTAATTATTTCATCTTTTCTAGGAGTCTGTTTTGCATGGATTATTTGAGTGACTCTTTCCTTGTCCCTTCCAGCTTTAACCGCCTAGACTTACCTCTGTACGAATCTTTCGAGGACCTGCGGGAGAAGCTCCTCATGGCCGTGGAGAACGCCCAAGGGTTTGAAGGGGTGGATTAACTTTGCAGCACCCATTCCCTCTCCAAGCACGTTCTGCTGGCTTTGGCACCTGCCCGAGGGACTCGGAGGGCTTGTGGCATGGCAGCTGCCCGGTGCTGGGCTCTGGAGCAGCCCCCGGCAGGGTCCCCGAGGCTGGGACTGTCACCTGGGGTGGCCTTGCTGATGTTCCCGCACCAGTTGCGAACTGATCACGTTTCAGCAGGACTTACTCTATTTATGTTGTGCCTCTGTAGGCAAAGCCCTTAATAAATATTTTACACAATTTTTAATGGCAATGAACGGAATTAATCATTTTACAGGTATAGTATTACAACTCATGTTTACTTCTTAATTGATTTAAACATTTTCAGATTTTATTTCATTACAATTAAATATCATATACTTGGAAAAATGAGCATTTTTCTTAATTTCATACCAGACTTTTTTTTTTTTTTTTCAAAGTACGTTGAGCCTTGTGTTCCTAAACCAGGAGAGCAGGAGAAAGCTGTTGGAAGCTTTCTCTCCACAGGCTGTCTCTCAAAAGCCACTCTCTTCATTAAGCACATCACTGTTGTTCTGTATCCAGAAGTATGGGCTGGATGTTGCATTTTTGTACAAGTGCTAGAACAGTGTCAAGGCACAGCAGAGCCCTGACACAGCATGTCCAGATCTCTGTTCTAGATCTCTGAAACTGCCTCCTTACTGCCGAGCTGTACATGTGCTACGAAGCATCTGGGCAGGGCTGGCATTTAGCCTTTGAGGAGAACGTGCTGAGCCCTGTCATTCTCTCTGTACAGTGATTTGTTTTCCACCCTTTCTGCATTCCTGTTTGCAATGGAGGCATTCCAAATGAAATCTGGCGCTCTGGAACACAGCTCTGTTCTGGCTCCTGTTTGTGTGCACTTACTAATGAACCTGATTAACGCTGGGGTTGTTCATTTCTAACAGCACCGACTCTGAAGGCACTTTCTGTACCACCGGGAAGGCAGACCTGGTTTGAGCATAAAGTTAATGGGATTTTACTCCTTCCCACTACACGTGTCCTTCTGTGGTGAATTTGGCTGCTGCTGTGGAAGAGAAAACCCCACCAGCTCTAGACCGGAGCCTGCAGACGTGTTCCTCAGTAATTGTTTCTGTGATTTCTTTTTTACTTACAAAGATTTATTTAATATACACTGCTATCTAATCCATTTTGTTACCTGTGACATGTTGCATGCCTAATCTATAATGTCTGAGTTGCATCTGTTTTCTGGCAGATTAAAGGTGACAGATTTGTGCTTGCCCCAGTGCAGTGACATGGTGACAGCACTGCTGGAGCAGCTCTGCCCCAGCCTGCTCCCCAGCATCCAAGCAAGATGACACCACTTACCAAAACAAACTTGCACCTCACCGCCCTAGCCTTACCTGTGTGTCCAGCCAGACTGCAGAGCCTAGGACACAGGATCACCCAGCTGGGAAGAAGCCTCACTGCCAGTAGCATTCAGCAGTTACGGTCCCAATCCTGAGGAAGATTAGGGCAGTACTTGAATGCAGTTCAAGATTCCTTCTCTATTAAATATGCTTCCTGACATTCCTGCCTGACCTTTTCCATCTGAGGAGCGAGTTGGAACGCAAGACAGTGGCTGGCATCAGAGTAGACAGGAATGCTGGACTGCCTGCTTGGCTCAGGGGATAGAAGAGATAAATGCAGGTGTTCCCCCTGAGCCGTACCTTGAGCGCAGCTAACACGGACCCCCGGAGGGTCGCAGGAGGCAGGGCCCGGGTGACGTCGGGGGCGGGGCAGGAGCCGGGCCCGGCCCGAGGTGATTTAATCCCGGGAAATCGCCCGTGGCTCAGCTGCTGACAATGAGCGCGGTGAGAGTAGGAGCTCCTTGGCCCGGCTCACCAGGTGAGTCCTGGGGGCTTCGGCTTCCCCACCTCTTCCCCTTCTTCTCCCTGTGTTCCTCATCTTTGTCCCCGTTCCCTCTGTCCCCCAAAACCTCCCCGCTTCCCTCCCTCACCCCACCTAGCCCTTCCTTCACCCCGTATTCCCCTTTTTTCTCTCCATTTCCCCCCCTTTCCTCCGCCCTCTAAAAACCACCGCTCCTCTACCACTCCTTTCTTCTCCCCGTCCCTCTGCCCCCCAAAACCTCCCTCCCTGCCCGCCTATTCCTCCTTCCTTCTCCCCGCATTCCATTTCTTTCTGCCCCTTCCTCCCCCGTCCCTCTCCCCCCAGGCTTGGGTAGCCCGAGGCACAAAGCGGGGAGAGGAAGGGGAGCACGAGGCCTGGGCGGGCAGGTGCCAGGTGAGCGGCCCGATGCCGGGCCGCGCCGCGCCCTATATTTCTTTTTCACGGTATTTCTTACGCGTTTCTTTTCTTTTGTGTTTCTTTTTCTTTCTACCTCTCCTTTCTACCCTCCTTTCCTCCCCTCCCCCACCCCCTACACCTTCCCCCACCAGCACCCCCTCCCAACCCGGGACCCCCTCCTAATGAGGGGGCCCCCCCTAACCAGCACCCCCTCCCAACCCGGGACCCCCTCCTAATGAGGGGGCCCCCCCTAACCAGCACCCCCTCCCAACCCGGGACCCCCTCCTAATGAGGGGGCCCCCCCTAACCAGCACCCCCTCCCAACCCGGGACCCCCTCCTAATGAGGGGGCCCCCCCTAACCAGCACCCCCTCCCAACCCGGGACCCCCTCCTAATGAGGGGGCCCCCCCTAACCAGCACCCCCTCCCAACCCGGGACCCCCTCCTAATGAGGGGGCCCCCCCTAACCAGCACCCCCTCCCAACCCGGGACCCCCTCCAAACGAGGGGACCCCCCTAACCAGCACCCCCCACCCCAGGACCCTCTCCTAAGGAGGGCGCCCCCGTGTGACACACGGGGGGAAGCCGGAGCCCCGGCGGTGCCCCGTGCTGAAGTTCACCCTCATGGGAACCGCACGGGGACCCCGCCAAGGGGCTCCAGCGGGGGCCGAGGGCGCCGGGCTCCGGCCCTCTGGGCTTTATTGTTGTCCGGCACCCCCAGCCCCGCGGCGGAGGGGAAAGAAGGAAAGCGGGGACGGGAAGAGAGGAGCGACAGCAGGGGATGAGAAAGGACAGAGAGGGACGTCAGGCTGGGGAGGAAAGCGGGAGGCGAAGGGAGGGGGGCAAGAGAGACGGCGGACAGAGGAGGGAGAGAGGGGGAACGGAAGAGATTAGCGGGATAGGGACAGGACAGGAAGGAGTTGGGGGAGGTCGGGTTGGGGGAAAAAGGAGGGGAGAGTTTAGGGGAGAAAGAACAGGAATACGGGGAGGGGGAAGAAAGGGGGTAAAGGGGAGGGGAGGCCGAAAAGAGAGGGAAAGGACTCGGCTTTGGGGAGGAGAGAGAAAGGTGGGAAAGGCAGAGAAAGAAGGGGAATAGAGAAGGCAGAAAAGGAGAAGAGAATGAAGAAGGAAGGGTAGAGGCTGGGACAGGAGGGGAGGCCGAAGCGCTTCCTGTCCCGAGCTGCGGAGCCCGGACACAACGCCGCCGTCCTCAACGCGATCCGAATGAGCAAATGGCGGCCGAGGCGATTTCTGGGCGTTAAATAACCTCTGCCCCGCCCCGCGCAGCCGCCCTGGGACCCCGCGCACCTGAGCCGGGCCCCGCCCCGCGCACCTGAGCCGGGCCCCGCCCCGCGCACCTGAGCCGGGCCCGGTACCGCCCCCGGCCGCCTCCGGGCCCCGCCTCACAGGGCTCTTCGGCTGCACTCGGCTAAACTCGGATTGGCTCGGCTATACTCGGCCACACTCGGCTATAATCGGCTCTTCGGCCACACTCGACTACTGTCGGCTGCTCGGCTCTACTCGGCTCGGGCCGGCTCAACGGCTGAACTCGGCTATTTCCGGCCGCAGTCGTCTGGATTTGGCACTTCGGCGCAGCTCGGCTCGGTTGGGCCGAACTCGGTGCCGTTCGCTGCGTTCGGTGCAGCTCGGTTCGGCTCCCTCAGTTATTTACTATTGAGTAGTTATTTGACTATATAATAATATAATAATAACGTAAAGAATAATTAATAAATATAGTAATAATAAATAATAGCCGAGTGCAGCCCGTAAATGCCGGCGGATCCGCGCCCGCTCCGCTTCCTGCGGGGAATGCTCGTCTCGGGATGCTGCGGGACCTTCGCTCGCAGCGCTGCGCGGAGATCCGGGCCGGGGGCTGCTCCCGGCGCTGCGCGGCGTCCGACGCGCTCAGGTGCGGCCGGGACCGGGATCCGGGCCCGGGGATTCGGGTCCTGGTGCTGCCGGTGTCTGCTGCGGGTGCCGGGGCCGGGAAGAGCCGCTCCGGGACGGGCGCCGCCGCTGCCGCTTGGGCCGGGGTTCCAGCGGAGCTCCGGGCACGCTCCCGCTGCGGCCGCGGGGAGCCGGGCACGGCGCTTCCCCGCAGCAGCCGCCGGGTCGCGGCTGGAAGCGGCGGGGCACGGGGCCCCCCGTGCCGGCCCCGCGGCAGCGCCGCCCCCTCAGAGCCGCGTCCCGGCCCGCGGGGCGCCGCCTGGCGGACACGGCTCGGGCCGCTCACCTGGCACCTGCCCGCCCAGGCCTCGTGCTCCCCTTCCTCTCCCCACCTTCTCTGTGGCCCTCTGCAATGGAAAAACCTCTGCGTTTAAAATGCCAGGGGAAATTGGTGCCTCTGTTTCCAGAGCACAGAAGATTCTGAGTTGCAATGACCCCCGAGGATGATCAGGTCAAATGATGACAAGTGACTGACCTACCTAGGGACGGAACTCAGAATATTCATATTCTCAGCTCCTGAGCAAATTTTGGGGTCATGAGAAAGGGCTGGGAATGGCTGCTTCTTCTTTTCTGCTAATGCTGTTTTACACACCAGCCCCTTGAACAGCCCTAAGGCAGAAATGGCTGGCACCTGACAAGACAGCACAAAACTTCTCCAATAACCTGGAATTACTGCCTTCTCCAGCACTTCCCAATGGCTCGGAAGACGCCAGGGAGAAATGAGCAAAACAAGTCCTGAGTGTTCACTTGGTCCATGGCAATCCCAACTGAGAAATAAATGATTGTCATCAAAAACTTCAAGATCTGTTCAAAATTCAATGACAACACTGGGATGGGATTCCCAGAAACCTTCTTAATATTCTTGGCTCCATTTTTATAATTTTTAGTCTCTCCACTGGCAGCTTGTAGAATTTATCCTGGGACTTAGAGGTGTAGCAAGGTTGGCTTTGGATTGACTTTCACCTCTGCCCCCAATTTCCCTCAAAAACATCTCCTACATATTCCATGTAGATTAACTCTTTACCCCAAAATTTCCCTCCCTGTCCACTACCAGT